AACTGTTGCTCTAAAGAATTGATACTCCCTGGTCTTTCAGTTACATTTTCTTGAGGTCATTGAAAATACCCATTAACCAGCATCCACCCACACGCATGATCACAAGGCTTTCCTTGCAGGCACACACTGTTTCTCCCTCAGGTTTTGACATGTGCCACTCTGTCTAGCCAAGGGCTTTTCTACCCAGGTAATTGCATTCCTTTCTTTTCTTAGGCCTCAGAACTTGCAGCTTTAATTCAGACAAAGAGGAAGCTTGATTGTAGAGCTACTTATATCTAAACCATCGAAGAAGGAATTAACATACACACTCATGCAGCCAAAGACTTCTGGAAGCTTCTGGGTGGCCAAACCAGTTACCAGTGTAAGACTTTATTGCACTTCAGAGATTGACAAGACTTGAATCTGCTTTCTTCTCCCTTAGCTCATTCTTCTGAACCAGCTATTTTGCAATGTAAAATGTGATGCCCTCCTGTTGTTCTTATCCCCAAGCTGCTGGAGACCCAAAAGAAGATGAACTCTATGAAGCAGCCATAATGGAAACTAACTGCATTTACCGTCTCATGGATGACAAATTTGTTCCTGATAACAACTACTGGGGGGAAATTCCAAAGTGCTCCCTTCTGCAACCCAAAGAGGTACAGCCCATGGGCTCTGCCCTTCAATGAGAAAGCACATTGAAAGCACTCAGCACAGGCTGCCCAATAAATTAGAGAGTAAGTGCCCAATAAAGGTTAGCCAGTGTCAGTACCCATTGTAGAACATTTACAGTTTTTTAAAAGATTTTCTTTCTTTCTTTCTTTCTTTTTCTGAGACACAGTCTTGTTCTGTTGCCAGGCTGGAGTGCAGTGGCGAGATTTCGGCTCACTGCAACCTCCGCCTCCCTGCTTCAAGCGATTCTCCTGCCTAAGCCTCCTGAGTAGTTGGGACTACAAGCGCCTGCCACCACGCCCGGCTAATTTTTGTATTTTTGGTAGAGACAGGGTTTCACTATGTTGGCCAGGATGGGCTCGATCTCCTGACCTCGTGATCCACCTGCCTCAGCCTTTCAAAGTGCTGGGATTACAGGTGTGAGCCACTGTGCCCAGCCAGAATATTTGTTATTTCAACCCATTACTGACATCTTAAATGCTAATATGGAATCCAGAATATTGTTCAAAGGTGGCATGGATCATTGAAAGCATCATAGGCAAAATGTAAATATTAGCCCTATCTCTTACATTTTGTATAAACATTAACTAGAATATTTTTCAGTCCTTAAGTTTGAGGAATAATAGATGCATATATATATAATTTATGGATTTTTCAATTAATATGCTGTTTTTTTCCTATCACACCAGTAAATATTTATTAATTACACATATTTCCAGTACCATTAAGTATACTAAGTGTTGAGAAAGTGGAAGACACACAGGTCCTTAAGTTTTATTGGGTGGAAGAGTATTAAAAGGAATGTAATCTGGAGTAAGGTTGACTGTGTGATATGTATGGGCATTTACATGGAGGAAAAGTCACAGAAAAAGAAATCATCAGGAATAATTTTCAATAGAAAGTGAAATTGAGCCGAGTTTAGAGTTAAGCAAATTTGAATTGCTGGAAGTGAAGGGAGAAATCATTCTAAGAGAAAGAGTAAAACAAACTGTGAAAATAAGAAATAGCATTACATTCATGTATTCATTCAGCAAACACTTAGTAATCAATCCCTCCTGTATGTATTACTATGATCTAATCCCTGCCCTTAAGGATCTTGGAATTGTGTACAGGAGAGAAGACACCATTAGACCACGAGTGCCTGGCATATATGAAGTGGCCTCTATGTATATATTAATGAATGAGCACATGAGAGGGGGAGGAATCGGGGAGAGAGGGAGGAAGTCGACAGGATGATGTACCTAAAGAACTCTTGTGAATTGCAAGTTGTAAGCAGTTTGAGAGTTCAGAGGAGAGAACATTATCTTGGCCACTTAGGACACTGGGAGGAGGAATCATGCCTCCAGGGCAGAGGCTGGCTTGGTGGGGCAGTGCCAGCTGAGATCTCCTGGCATTTTGTGCAGGGCAGTGCCAGCTGAGATCTCCTGGCGTTTTTGTGTCTGCGTTGGTTGCCCCATTGGGATTTCTGTCTTCCTCCGTTTGAGTCGCTGTCAACAGAGACCCTGTTGCACCTGATTCAACTGTTGCACGTTCTTGAAGTTAACAAATTCTTTTGTGCCATTTCTCCCAGGTACTGGTGTTCGATTTTGGTAGTGAAGTTTACGTATGGCATGGGAAAGAAGTCACATTAGCACGACGAAAAATAGCATTTCAGCTGGCAAAGCACTTATGGAATGGAACCTTTGACTATGAGAACTGTGACATCAATCCCCTGGATCCTGGAGAATGCAATCCGCTTATCCCCAGGTACTCCTGCCACTGCCTGGGGACGGCTCCCCGAGCGAGCTGATTCCCTTCGATCCCTCCGTTCTCACCACAGTCCTCTACTCTGGCTCTTTACAGGGTTCAGTTTTCATAAATGGTTATATGCAGCGGGCTGTGAATAGTCACAAAAGGAACCGTTCTTTACCTTTTATCTAACTATTGTGGAAATATGGATGCTGTAGTCTTCTGGAAGAGGTTTGTTACAGTTGATTTCTTGAAGTGAGCAAGAAAAGCTGCCAGTTCCCCTGCAGCGTCCCAGGTGCTGCTGTGGCAGACGAACAGCAATTGTTGAAACAAATGCATGCAGATCTGAAAGGCTTCCCGGGTCTGGAATTCAGCCATTGATCTGAAAGTGCAAAAGCAACCTGCCTCCTTCTAATTTTATACCTTCCCAGCATCACCTTCAAATTCCAGGATTTATTTGGCAGCAAACGATGTTTATGTCTTTATACCTTTGGGAAGGGAAGAGGGGGAGAAGATGGTATTAAAATTATGATTGCAATTTTAATATTCCCTGCATGTACTGGACTCTTTAAAGTCATTTTGGCAATTCATTAGAATATGTACAAACTCTGAAATTATGATTATGAAAAAAAGAATTCTTACATGCAAAGGATTGCTGTTGTTCTTTCAACTATCAGACCAAAAAAAAGTAGGTTTTTTAACTGTGTGTGCGATTACAATAGATTGAAACCGATGAACCACCAAACAGCGTAGAATATTGGGCATCACACAACTGCATTTTAATGTTTTCCATTGAACTGGTATATGAATTTCAACTTTCCTGCCTAGGTTCCTGCTTTAGAATCCAATTATTGATTTCCTTATTAATTATTATAGAAATCATTAAAATTATGTCAATGTGGTAAGAAGTTTTAAAATCCTTGTTAAGCAAATGCACTAATGTTTAACATCAGTATGGTAACAACCGTTGTTTTAAGGACTGGAACTACAGCTCAAAAGATTTTATTTGGTATAGCAAAGGAAAGAAAACCAGGCTAAAGCATAAAATCTGTGTGATGGCCAACTGTATTTAATAATGGCATAATCACAGATCTGGAAGTAGATGACGGAGCTCCTAACCCACTGGTTTTCAACATCTCTGAGACAGAATCACCTGAGGGGCCTTTAAAAAGATGCGTTTGCTCAGCCCAGCCCCAGAGATGTGTTTTCCATTCATGTGAGTTAGAGCGTACGTGTCAATATGTCTCAAAAGCTCCCGGGGATTTTAAGATGCAGCCAGGATTACACACCCAGCCCTTCTTAGCAAATGAGGCTGAAACCACTGAGCTCAGTTCCAGCTGTAAGTCAGGGAAGGAGGGAGAGAGACACACCTGGCTCCTGGCCCAGGTTCGTCCCCCTCACCCTGCAATCTGCCACGTGGCTTGCTCACGACGCTTCAAAACGTAAACGACAGATTCTAAAGCAGAAACCAAGAACCCTTTCAATCATCGTCTTAGCAAGCCTGCGGAGTAGGACTGACATAAGAGACAGGCATTCAGATATTTTCTGATAAAGACCACAGCCTTTCAAGACCGCGTGCATTTTCCATAGGTGCTTATGTTTGGTTCGCGAAGTCCCACAAGAGCACGAGGTGGAAGTGTCTGTGTTCTATGATTTATCCGGCAGCTTTCTTTGAATCAGGCAGCCTTTTTGATGTGCCTCAGCTGTGACATCAGCAGATGTGGTCTTGACCAAGCAGGAAACCACTGAGGCAGTAGCACAGCAGGGCACGGGCAGCAGGGCGGGTTGCTCTAAGGGGTGGCTGCATCCTGGGCTGGATTCACAACCGAAGATGGATGTGGAGGGATGAGATCGTGCATATTATTCCAGGGCTACGGCCTCCACAGCAAGCGTATCTTCTCTACCTTTTCTTTTCTTTTATTTCTTTTTCTTTCTTTTTTTAAATTTTTAATTAATTTATTTATTTTTTTGAGACAGAGTCTCACTCTTGTCGCCCAGGCTGGAATGCAATGGTGCTATCTTGGCTCACTGCAACCTCCACCTCCCGGGTTTAAGCGATTCTCTTGCCTCAGCCACCCAAGTAGCTGGGATTACAGGCACCCACCACCACGCCTGGCTAATTTTTTATTATTAGTAGAGACAAGGTTTCACTGTGTTGGCCAGGCTGGTCTTGAACTCCTGACCTCAGGTGATTCACCCGTCTCGGCCTCCCCAACTGCTGGGATTACAGGCATAAGCTACCACACCCAGCCCTCAGCTCTACCTTTTTCTAAATTACCTGTGTTCTTGGGGACAGCGCAAATTCTGAAATCTCAAGCCCACACAAGACCTCCAGTTGGGGCTGTGCCATTTTCTTTCCTATTTCTCTGTGCACTCCTCGTCTGCTGCCGTGGCCAGTCGCCTAGAAATAAGTGTACAAAAGAGCACTTCAAGAAAATGAAAGTGTGTTCATTTTAGTGACAGGAGAATCTCCGTACTCTGGAGAGCTTTGCTGTAACGTGAAATAAAATAGTAGAGAATTGTGGGGAGGGGAGCTACCTCTTCCCTACGTTTATTAATTAATTGGAGGGAAACTTGGTGAGCATTTGCAGGTGACTGGGTGGCATAGAGTAGATGACAAGTGAGGTTTGCCCGCAGCTCCTGCCATTGCCAAAATCTCCACCCAGCATGCCACCCCGAGGGCATTCCAAAGACAAGAATTTGCTAGAATGTGGCCAGGCACAGTGGCCCACACCTGTAGTCCCAGCACTTTGGGAGGCTGAGGTGGGAGGATCGCTTGAAGCCAGAAGTGCAAGACAGCCTGGGCAACATAATGAGACCTGGTCTGTATTTAAAAATCAGCCAAGCATGGTGGCACACATCTGCAGTTCCAACTGTTTGCAAGGCTGAAGCAGGAGGATCACTGCAGCCCAGGAGTTCGACGCTGCAGGGAACTGTGATTGTGCAATTGCACTTCAACCTGGGCAACAGAGCAAGACCTTATCTCAAAAAAAAAAAAAAAAAAAAGGAATTGCTAGATTGTAAGAAAAGTTTAGTCCTGACATGGTTCATGTCACATTTAGGCACATCAAAAACTCCATGGACACAAAGCTTTGCAAGACTTCAGACTAAAATAACAAAATGTCATTATTTGGTAACATGCAGGAAAATAAACCATTTGTTCTATACACCACTTAACGTGCTTTGAGGGTTTTTCCAGTAGCCGCATGTGTTTTAGATTCCTTTGTTTAAGCTTGGCTTAATCTTGGTTCCTTTCCTGTCTGTTCTCCCAACCCCCACCCCCACCCTGCAGAAAAGGACAGGGGCGGCCCGACTGGGCGCTATTTGGGAGACTTACTGAACACAATGAGACGATTTTGTTCAAAGAGAAGTTTCTGGATTGGACGGAACTGAAGAGAGCGAATGAGAAGAACTCCGGGGAACTTGCCCAGCACAAGGTATTCCAGTGACCAAGTCTCAAACCTCAGGGCTTGGTTCGGGTCCCAACAAACGTGGCCTTGATGTAATATGATCAAATCAGGATAGTTTGTGTGGTCATCACCTCAGATGTATCATTTCTTTGTGGTGAGAACATTCAGATCTTCTCTTCTAGCTCTTTTGAAATATGCAATACAGTATTGGAAAACAGTCACCCCACTGTGCAGGAGAAAACCAGAGCTCATTCCTCCTCTCTGGTTGTCATTTTGTACCCATTGGCCAACATCTCCCTATCCTCCCTCTCCCGTCTCCTTCCCACACCCCCTTCCCCATAAAACAGATGCGTGTATCAACACATCAAATCATACTCATAATAATGTGTCAACTAAAATACTTTTTTAATTAAAAAAAAGCCATGGACACACACACACACACACACACACACACACACACACACACACACCCCCTTAAAGCTAAGAGGCCTTCCCAGGATTCACTAATAGAACAGCAGACAGGCCTCCAATTCTAATCTGACTCCGGGAGGTGAAGAGTCTGGTTTGCACCTGTTCTCGGGCATCCATGTGCTGTTGTGGCAATGGGTGTTCAGACCTCCCAGAGTCTTTCTGGAAATGCAGCCTTTCCCTGACTGCAGTTAAACATCCGAGGATGAGATAGAGGATGGAAGCTGTATTTTTATGCTATCCCAGGAACAGCTGAAGCAGCGTTGAGTGTGACAAGGAATGGCTGTGGAAACAGGCAACTGAATCAATGTCTTCATGTTCCCCTATAGGAAGACCCCAGGGCTGTTGTCAAACCGTACGATATGACACAGATGGTGTCCATGCCCCAGACGACAGCAGGCACCATCCTGGACTGGGTGAACGTTGGCCGTGGCTGTGGCCTGGTGGAAGGACATGACAGGAGGCAGTTTGAGATCACTAGCGTCTCCGTGGATGTCTGGCACATCCTAGAATTCGACTATAGCAGGCTCCCCAAACAGAGCATCGGGCAGTTCCACGAGGGGGATGCCTATGTGGTCAAGTGGAAGTTCATGGTGAGCACAGCAGGTTAGTGAATGCTCATGGTTTCTTCCAGCTGAAAGAGGTCGGCCCAGCAGCCCTGCAGGAGCCAGCTTCCCCGATGAGCCCTGTTGTGCTCTCTGCTGGGTGTGTGCAGTGGGGCACTGCAGTCATGTGCCTTTGAGAGCCACCTAGTAAACAACAGAGACGAAAAGAAGTAAGGCCGAATTCCTAACAACCTAGCATTGCCAAGGCCGCTGGTGTTCACCTGTAGAAATTGAACTTGCACATCAAGTCTTCTCGGCTCCCTCTCTCTCTCCCCTGCCCCTGTCCCCAGAGCTTTTCTGGGAAAGAGATGATTGGCCTCTCAATGATATTTCCCATGTGGCTGTGTGCTGCTTCAATTAAAGTGGTTAAGTACAGCATATCTTCGTGATTTAAAGCTGGAACCAAATGGGCTGTAACATTATAGTAAATACACGCACGGAAGATTGATTTGAAAAGTGAAAGAATCTGTTTCTCCTGAGACTGAGAGCACGGATGGTGCTTTGTGGGTCTGGTGTAGTAAATGCAGAGTCTAAACTCTCCTCGGTTCCTGATGGTGACATACCGCATTGCAAAACACTGACCTGGATGCTCTGGAGAAATCACCCCTTTCCTTGCCAAGCAGGAGCCTTTCCCACAGCGCTCCTCACTCCTTCCCATTTAGCATGCAGGTCACAGGTCTGTGATTTCAACTCAGAAGAGAGTTTTTTCGCCTCTTTACAGCCCCCTTGCTGTGCAGGTGCACCTGCCCCCGGGGCCACAGGAAGCACAGGCAGCTGTTTGCTTCAGAAAACTGCAGGCTCAGAACCATGTGATTTCTTTCCTGGTTTATATAAAATGCATCTGTTCATCAACTGACACCATTTCCTGAGCACCTACTCTATGGGAGACACTTTTTGTAGGGACCAAGTAACTATTTCAGATCCTGTCTCCAAGACAGTTATCCATGATGTAAAGCAAGTGCAGGAACAGCCAGCAGGCAGGCCTCGCTGAGTACATGGCCGATGGGGTTGCGTGCTGTGCAGAGCCCGCTGTGGCCCAGAGGTCCCCCTGCCCCCTCAGGGCACAATGCTGGGGGCTTTATCCTGCCTCTAGCTGAGTGCCTCCTGAGCTCCCTGAGACTTGTTCTGTTGTGGTGCTAATTTCTCAGATGAGGACCAGGACAGTAAGATCAGGGAACCTGCCTGAAGCCACACAGCTAGCAGGCAGCAGAGCTGGACACTCACACCCAGGCCTGCCTCTTTTCAAACCCAACTGTGCTGTTAACCCGCTCTGCAGGCAGGGAGTCAGAGTGGGGCTCCAGCACAGGATGTGGGGAGCCATGAGTTTGGTTACAAGGACGGGCCGAAGAGCCCAGTCACCAGACTGTGGAGCAGGTCAGGGTTGAACCAGCGGCAAGGCGGTTTGACGTTGGGCCGCTGAACACATCAAACTTCAGGAGCTTCTTAAACAGCAGGAATGGGCTCTTCCAGGGCTCAAGCAGCTCCAGCCTCTCCTTCCAGGGAGTAGTGGGGTGTCAGACAAGGACCCCCAGTGGGAGGGACTCCCTTCCCTCCCACTCCCCTCCCCTCCCTTTCCCTTCCTTGACAGGGTCTCATTATGTTGCCCAGGCACTTTTCTTTCTTCGTTTCTTTCCTTCTTTTCTTCCTTTCTTCCCTCCCTCCTTCTCTCCCTCCCTCCCTCTCTCCCTCTGTCTCTTCCTCCCTCCCTCCCTCCTCTCTCTCTCCTTTCTTTCTTTCTCTTTCTCTTTCTTTCTTCTTTCTTTCTTTCCTTCTTTCTTTCTTTTTCTTTCTTTCCTTTCCCTTCCTTTCTTCCCTCCCTCCCTCCCTCCCTGCCTCCCTGCCCCCGTCTCTCTCTTTCTTTCTTTCTTTCTTTCTTTCTTTCTTTCTTTCTTTCTTTCTTTCTTTCTGGCAGACTTACAACTTTGGAAAAGTCCAGCTTTGGAGAATTAGGATAGAGCAGAGAGTGTTCAGATTCCAGACCATCCCTCCAGCAGCAGAAGCACAGCCCAGTGGCACTTGCAGTCACTCTGTAGCCAATGCGGAAGCTCTGGCCCCTTGGTGACACTCATCCAGCTCCTCTATCACTTGTGCCCACAAGAGCCACACCTGCAAACAGGACTGAGTCAGAGCTCAGGGAGCACTTCTGGGAGAGGGTCAGCACACCTGCAAA